TGAGACAACACATGCCAAGGTTATCACTTTTCAACATGAATGCCCTTCCCTCTTGCCCTGCTCTGCCACAGCACCTACCCTGCCCCTGCTCCTTTGAAAGTGTCACAATATTCCTCTCTGGCACTGACCGCTGTTTTATTTTGAAGTATCATGAAGTCCAATCTAAACTACTTCAGCAGAAAGGGAATTCATTGGGTCACAGCTGAAAAGTCTAAGCTAAGACCCACATCAGACTCAGCTGGGCTGGGGCTCAAAGAGGTCCCCAGGACGCAGCCTTGGCTGGGCTCTGCTCTCCTTCGCCTGCTGTGCCCTTCTCAGCTCCACATGCTCCGCAATCGTGCTTCCTGCCTCCCAGGTTCAAGATGAGCAGGAAACACCAGCCTTTTTAATCTTGTTAAATCCTTATTGTTGAAAATATTACAAATGTTCCCCTTTTCCCCCATTGACCTCTCCACCCCCACCCCACCCCAGGGCTTCACCACCCTATTGTCCATGGGTTATGCATCTACGCATACAAGTTCTTTAGTTGATCTCTTCCCACCCACCCACCTGTCCCTGCCTTCCCTCTGAGATTTGACAGTCTGTTCCATGCTTCTATGGCTCTAGATCTATTTTGTTCATGTTTACCACCCACCCACAACATTTTTAATCTTGACTTTTAAAAACAGAATTTAGATGAACTCTGATTGGAATTACCTGAGCCAGGGACCCATCCCTAAGCCAATCACTGCAGCTGGGGGATACAAACCGGATTGGCCAGGCTAACAAGCCAACGCCCGTGGGAGGTACCACATTGCTGCACATCCTGAGTTTAGGAAATCTTCAGTTAAGGTGGCACCCAGAACCTGCTTTGAATTGGGGTGGTTGTTAGAGTCCAGATTGTTAGTGTCTGAGGGCCAGGAGAGGGGTACTTCTGTGCAAAGAAACGAAAAGAGGATTTGGGAGATCCCAGAATGATTTTCGAGGGCGTTTTGTTCTGTCAAATTGTGTTGATCTGGGTCATGGTTAAGTGCACAGGTTCTGGGTCCAAATCCTGCTCTGCCACTTCCTAGCTTGACAGGTAATTTCTCTGAGCTTCGGTTTCCTCGTGTATAAAAAATTATGAGTAAGAATCGTCGTCAGCAAGTAAAGAGCTTAAGACAGTGTTTGGCTTTGTAAGCCCTCAGAAAGGCTTCTCCGTTAATGGAGACCTTAGGAACAGAGCGCCCACAGCCCTGCCACGGGCATTAGCACTGAACCCCAAGTGGATGACTAAAGCTACACACGGAAACCTCTTTGGAGAAACAGTGAACCACACGTGGCACTCTGAGTTTCCGAATTCCCTATGATGTAAGCACGAAAACTTTGCACTGTACTAAAAAATGTAATTAAAATGCACGTCAAATAAAAATTTTAAAAAGAAAGGATGGCTATTGAACATCCCACTCCCAAGTGCCTTTGTTTGCCGAGTTCTTACATGGATGGGCATCTGACATGCATTTCATTAAACCAGGAAAGCTAGAGCCAGGCTAATTGCATACCTGGTAGCAGGATTCATTACCGAGGCCCCTGCATCAGATGGTGAGCGTGAGTGATTCCCCTTGGAAGGTGACCTGACTATCTGAAAACACTCAGATGTCCCAGCCAGGTTGATGGAGGGCAGGAAACGTAACCTTTGACCGGGCAAGTGGTAACAATGTTGCCCTTTCTGCAACCAAGAACCAAAGGAATTAAAATTGAGTCAGTCACCAAGTAGATTGCATTTAGGGTCACCTATAAATCTCTCAGGAGCATTTACCAAAATGTTTACTTTCCTCGGTAATTTAAAACGAATGGGGAAAGCCTTTGTACCAAACATTGAAAACAGAAACTTGGTTCTGTCTTCCTGGTTCCATTCCAGCAGTCGGTCTTCGCTTCCTCTCCAAGCACCCTTTACTGAGCACCTCCTCAACATGATAATGGTGCTGCAAATTACAGTTAATTCCTTCACAAATTAGATATATTTCTGCCCCTTCCGCTGAGTACGCTGAAACGATTCTCCAGTAATATACATATGTGGATGACATTGAATTTTGCACAAACTACAGCAGAAATGACGACAATTTGTTTCATGTAATTTACTTTAAATCTCCCTTTGTTTTGCACTTCCCTTTTAATAACATTCAGATTGTGTTTTGCAGTGCCACCAAGAATCTGAGTGGGACGAAAGGGACCCAATTCTGTGGTTTTTCCTGTTTGCAGTTAAGCTGTTTATTCTAGGGAAGGGGTGGGGCGTCGTGGATGGAAATGTTCTTTTACAATTAAAACCAAGCAACTGTAAGTCTAAAAGCACCTCAAACCTGATTTTCAGCGTCATCCTGTATCAGAGGGTTGGTCAGTCCAGGGTAAAGATTTAGGTGGAGTTGTAACTGCGTCGGACCTTCCTTTCTCTGATGCTCAGCATTGCCCAGGACTACTTAAGGCCTGATGCAAAGTAAATGCAGCTTTCAGAATGCTTCCTACTTTGACACTACATCATGCTATCCTTCTCAAGCAACATATTGATTTTAAAATTGGCTTCCTGACATCTAAGTAATTGTCAATTTTTTTAATGGAATTCCTGTTTACTGCATATACATTCCTTTTTTTGTTTTTCCCCTTCTCTAAGTGAGGGACATTTTGAATTTCTCAGAATCATTCTTGTGTGTGTGTGTGTGTGTGTGTGTGTGTGTGTGTGTGTTTGGGGTTTTTTAATTCTGAGAATATGTGGGGGGGGGTTAATATTTTTTATTGTTTTTTTTTACAGAGAGAAGGGGAGAAGGATAGAGAGTTAGGAACATTTATGAGAAAGAAGCATCAACCAGCTGCCTCCTGCACACACCCACACTGGGGATGTGCCCGCAACCAAGGTACATGCCCTTGACCGGAATCGAACCTGGGACCTTTCAGTCCGCAGGCCGACGCTCTATCCACTGAGCCAAACCAGTTTGGCTGGTGGGATTTTTTTTTTAATTATTGATTTGAGAGAGAGAGAGAAAAATATCGATGTGAGAAATGTCGATCAGTTGCCTCCTATACACACTGTGCCCAGGAACCACACCCACCACCTTTTGGTGTATGGGATGACACTCCAACGAACTGAGCCACACCAGCCAGTGCCATTCTTGTGTCTTTAAAATAAGAGTTGAGATAAACAAATGGAGCTCTGACCTAGCCCCACACTCTCTCTACTTCTCCACAAAGAGTCCCTCGGCACTCCTTGTGTTCATGCCACCCCTAAACTTTAACTTCAGAAATCCATGTAGCATTGGTCTACTTGTAAGAGATGATTCTTTGCTCTCATTGAGCAAACATTTCTGTTTGGGTTTTACATTTGCTCTATTAGGACAGTCCAGTTCAATTGGCCTCTACCTGCCTGGTCAACATAACACAAGCAATTTCATTTCCATCTAAACTTTATATGCATGTCAGAAATGAAATGCTATATTGGTCTGGAAATTGCTGGGGCTAGACAAGGGAAAGAACCTGAGGGGCCAGGCTACTTCTCAGGGTATCCACCTTCTATTGATTTGAGTCATTTCTGAGAAGGCCTGAGATGATCTCTTTATTAGACACTCAGGTAGATGGAACTTTCTCTGAATGTCCTTGAAGGCTGTAGAAGAGCAAGAAGGTTGTAGAATAAGCCACAGTGAGAGCTTCATCCAGAGAAAGCCACTCACTGCAAGGCCTCCTGCTGCTCAGGGGCCCCAGAGTTTGGCTTAGTGCTGGCTCTCTGTGGCTGTGCCTCATTGTTAATCGTCCATTCAGAATGTTTCTTGAGTGTTGGCAACATCCTCCTTAGACCCCGGCAACCACTACCCCTGCCCTGGGCTGCACAATCTAGAGAGCTTGCTTTGGCCCATCCCCCATTTTCTAAGCCATGCTCTTGGTACTCAAGACCCCAAAATCCCCCGTCCAAATGGCCCTGGAGGAGGAGGCAGAGGACGAGCTGTGGTTGGGTAGAAGGGGATAGAACCTCAGTGTACGGCTGGGTTGTTCAAGGTTGGGAGAGAAAGGAGGGTTGGGGAACCAAGGTCCAGGGCTTCCACTTGCAGCTTTGCCTCAGGTCCTGCATGCAGGGATTGGATGGCGAAGGAGAGGGACTGTCCCAGCTCTGCAGAGCCTCTGCCCCAATAGGGAAGACAGATGGGGAAGAAGTACTTGGAAGGGTGATGAGTTCTGCAAATGAGAAGTACGGGGTGCTTTGGGAGCCTCTACTAGGGGACAGGGAGCCAGAGTTGAGTGGGGGTGAGTGGAAGAAAGTAGGGATGTCTTCTGTGAGAAAGTCCTACCCACAATTTCCCATGTACCCAAGCCAAAATGTTCACACTAGCACTCAAGTGTGCAATATCTGTAACTTCATTAGCATAAGTCTGATGGGCTAAAGTAACATTCTCTTTCAAGCAGTCTTTTCCAGTTCAAGTCACTTTTTTCAAGTTCCTTTTAATTGACAAATATACCTTTTTCTCCTAATGTTGCTGAGTAGTGTCTTAAGAGCAAGATAAGATCCATTTTTAAATAAAGAAAGTATTTTTTTCTCACAAACTGTACAGTATAAAGTCTGCACTTTGCTACCCATTCAGGTGTCCCTTGATCCCCAGCTCTATGACCTTGAGCAAGTCACCTCATCTGTGTCCTGGAGAGAACACTGTCTATCTCAGAGGTTGGCATGAGAGGTAATTGGGTGAAATATTTAAAAGCAGGAAGGACAGAGCCTAAACGGTAGAATGGGGTAGGTTTCGGGAACTGTTAGTCATACTTCTCTGTTCTCCCATTAACCTTAGAAACCTAGGCTGACTTTGAAACTTTTGAATTAAAAAAAAAAAAAAAACAGCCCAGCCAGTATGACTCAGTGATTGAGCATCCACCTATGAACCAGGAGGTCAGGGCTTCATTCCAGGTCAGGGCACATGCCAGGGTCCTGGGCTTGATCCCCAGTAGGGGGCATGTAGGAGGCAGCTGACCAATGATTCTCATCATTAATGTTTCTATCTCTCTCTCCTTCTCCCTTCCTCTCTGAAATCAATAAAAAAATATTTCTTAAAAAAAAAGGAAGAAAGAAAGAAATGCTGTATTCTTCATACTCAACAATACTCTGGTTCACTTTAATGCTAAGAAGCCATGACTATGTTTTCTACAAGGATAGATACCTAATAATAAATACATACATGCCTATTTAGAGAGAAACAGAAAGAGAGCAAGAAAGCTGCTCCTTCAAGGCAAAAAGAAATATAAATAGGGCAAATATCATCATTCAGATTTCTGTTTTATTTGCTACTAGTTTTGTAGTTTAAAGTCAGAGAAATGGATTCCTGACCAGGAATGGCAGATTTGGAAAGAAACTAAACAGCAGTCATTTGGTGTTGCCCGTGTAAGGGTTGCAAACAAGTAAACAGACGCGGAAATGATGAGCACCGTGACACTACAGATTCCCTTTGAATGTGAACACTCCCCCGCCTTCTGTTGCTATCTGGAGGGTAGATACTCCGCACGCCACTCGTTCATCTTTGTTCCCCATCAGCCTCCTACTTTCTAGACTCTACCTCTTAGTTTTACTAAAAAGCTTTTCAAAGATGACGGTCTAGGATAAAGAATCAAACCCTGGGATTATCTGAGCTCCGGCAACACGGAAGACATAAAAATCCACAGCATCATAGCTCTCAGTGGGTTGATAAATAGCACTTTTATCCTCACCTTGGGTTCCCAGGGTGTTATGGTAATGTAACGTGCCACCTTTCTATATTTACTGTCTCTGTCTCCTTTTATTTATAGAGACTGACAAAACCAGACGTCTATATTGTTTGTTTTGTGTGGTTTTGAGGGGAAGGTGGATCTATAAATGCACTATTTTCAAAATAATGTAGTAAGTGCAGCCTAATAAAGGTTTTTTCCTAAAGGCAGTGTGACTACCTCCATAAAGTAAATTTAAAGATAAAAGCTGTTTGGAAGTCTGTTTTGAGTTGTTGAAAAAAAATAATGGATGCAATAAATAAAATGTTAGAAAAAATTTACTAATATATAAAAAACCACATCTATTCATACACACACACACACACACACACACACGTCGACTTTCATTCCGCCCCCCCACACACACATACACATCCAGCTGTTTCACTGTCTTCTGTGCAGTTTTCATTCTATGCATGCATTTCACAAAGCAACCTTAATTTAAATACCATTGAAGGTTTTGCTTTCTAAACTTATGTCCCCAGTTTTCTACAGAGCAAACAAGTTTTGTTCATTCACTGTGAATCTATATAATTTAATCACTATTAATGGCTTCAGTCACAATGATTTATATTTTGATAATCACCGCCTTCTGAAGAATTCAAAGTTTTAAAAACAGCACCTTGGATAGCTCATAAGCCCTCCTGGGCAGTGCTCCATTTCTACAGATGGGAAAACTGAGGTTCTAAAGAGGATATGGGACTAGCCAGGATTATTCTCAGCAGATCCGGGACTGCAACCCCAGACCCAACCATGGCTTTCTGCCCAGCCACAGCCGCCTCCTGACAGCCCCCCGCATCTCTGCTCCATCCTGAATGGATGTCGCCGGGGGTGGAGAGCACAGAAAGATAACATCCTACTGGTCACTTTTCCCCACTCAAGTGGACCGGACAAGCTGCTACCTCCTTCTGCAAAAGGCTGGTTTGAATGGTCCGACCCTAATCCGACTACTCAGAATGTGATTGCTTTTCTATTGTTGAAAAACTTTTCTGTATTTCATGGGGAGCTGAGCCCGGGGACTGGGTTCCGCACAGTTGCGACCCTGACCATCGTGCGGTAGAATCCAAGGCTCTGTGAAGATGGTACGCACCTTCAGGTAAATTTCACTGCATCGAAGTCACATCAAAGGCCTGGGCCGTGCCTCTCCTGCAGGTAACTCCCTGGGGTACCTCTTGGCGCTTTGGGGTGAGACAGGGGCCTGCAGGGAGCTCAGAGCTACCTGACTTTTTCAGAGACATGGAGTCAAACCCAGAGGCCAAGCCGTCTGTACACCAGCTCGATCCTCAGCAGCTGGGTCCACGCAGGAAAGGCTTTTCTCTGGCTGGCAGAACTCGTGCAGCTCACACAGTCCCGGGGCGCGTTTCTGCCGGCACACGCCGCGAGCCTGCAGAGCCCGGGCATGAGGAGGGCAGGTGGCAGCAGGGCTCGCGGATCGTGGGAGTGCTGGTGAGCTGCAGCTTCCCTGAGTGCCCGCTGAAAGAGTGGTCCTCCTCGCCGGGCCTTCAGCCGCCCAGCTGTGGGCCAGGGAACCGGGAGCCCCGCCCCGCCCCAGCTGGCCCAGGCAGCCATCGTCTGCAATAATTTTTAGTAATGGCTGAGCACAGCTGCCTTTGAACTGGCGACCTGGTCATCTGCACTAGAAAGGCCCGGATCCCTTGACAAATCCCTCGAGCCTCCAGCCTGGCCATTTGTTTGACTTGTTGCTCTTAAAGTTTCACATCATCTTCAACATGTTAAGCCGCCACTTCAAGAGCATTACTGAGTCTGCGGGGAAAGGCGGCCCGAGCATGTATGTGTTTGTTCTTCGCCACTTGGCCCTCGTCCTTTGCTTTCACAGCTCGCCCGCGGCGCAGGCAGGCACAGCGCGGGTGTCAAGAGGCAGTGCTGCTTCGCTCATCTGAAGGGTCCATCTGCTGACTGTCTACAGAGGAAGCAGCGCTTGGAGAAATGCTTTAGTGAACACCTACATGCCCAGGTAGATGACTCTTCGTGAAAAATAGTGATGCAGCGCCCTGTGAGAGCTCGCAAACACACAGATGGCTGCTCCAGAACAACCAAGCGTTTGTCAGGAATGTTAGACAAAGGAAGTTCTATGTTCCCTCACTGGTACCGCTGCCAGCACCATCCGTTTAATACAGAACTTGCAGACCCCAAAAAATCATCTTACTTCTGCTCTATGAGCAATACTGCACTCGGTGTGTGCTCCTGGAAATTGACGTATATAGTTATATGCTTAGAAATAGGCATTTCCTTCTTAGTCTTTCACCCAACCAACATAGGGTCATAACTATTCCATGAATCACATGTATGGTTATTAAGCATCTATTATCTACCAAAGAAAACCAAACATTGTATAAAATATGACCCAATTAGAACTCCTGGATCATTTCAGAATTTTAAAACTATTCTTATTGTGTGTGTTGTTGTTTTTTACCACTTCCTATTTCTTTATGAAGTTAAAGACAACAAACCTTATCTGAAGTCTGATGCAATAAAAAATATGTGGAATATGTCAGCACTGTGTTTTTCTTTTTTTAAATGGTTATCATTTTTTGCCACTTCCTGGCGCTTTATGGATGTAAGGCATTATAATCTTTTATACTCTATCCAAACTGACACCTCGCTTTGTGCCCAGGATAACTCTGCTTGAGGAATTCTCTAGTGGTGAGTATTTGGCAGCATTATTTTTTATCTTATGTACTAATATTTATGACAAGAGTGAGAAATGTGCAGGATAGCCAAATTCCTTCCTTAGTCCATAGACACACTTTATTCCAAAAGAAAAGTAATGTTTTTGCTCATGCTGTTTTGCAAAAGACCTAAAAAGGGAAGCATTAGGCAAAACGTTTTACTATTCCTTTGAGTTTGGGGGAGGAGGTATAAGGGCTTGTAATAAACGTATGTAGTTATTATGCTTAAAAATGGGCATTTCCTTCTTAGCCTTCCACCCAAACAACATATGATCATATGATCAATTTTAAAATAAACTAGCAATGCTGTGTTTCCAGTAGCATCTTAAGTTTGACAGTTCCAGATTGAAAGATAACCTTCCTAAGCATCTTTTTCCTAAAAGCGTTTGCCATGGTCCCTCACTATGGGATCCTGGGGGAAATGAGTACAATTTCCCTGATGCCCTTATGGTTACTAGACCTTACTTTCCACAGCCCATGATCTAAAAGCATATTTGCCTTTTTTCTTTAACTTATCCCCATCAGGTGTTGAAGAACAGAAACTTTCCTCAAAGTAGACAACTTCAAGGTATAATGGTTTAACTACTGACCATGCCACAGGCCAATTGTCAAGCTAGGACTTCCTGCCCTTTTTACTCCACTGTTAGGACTCAATCTAGAACCTTGCCTAAAGACACAACAAGTCAGGAGGGTGGTCAGTGTTACTTTACTGTATTTGTCCTGGGGACTGAAGGGGTAAGCGAAAATGAGCACTATTTCAGGAACCCTTAGTAGAGAAATTTGGATTGTACTTCCTATGAAGAGAAACATGTTGAATACAGAGGGGCACTATATCCTAAACTGCCAACTCTTTTTGCTAGTGGCTTTTTACACAGCAAATATTGAATAAGGAATCCTTATTGAAGGTTATCTTTCAATCTGATCAAAGGGTTTTTTCAAGTATCAATATTCTCAGGACTCAACAGGCTCTACCAATTATGCTGTATTTATCAACTCGGGCTGCCATAACACAATGTCACAGAGTAGGTGCCTTAAATGACAGAGATTTTCATTTGCGCAGTTCTGGAGGCTCGAAGTGCACAGTTCTGGAGGCTGGAAGCCCAAGGTCAAGGTCTCAGCAGGTTTGGTTTCTTCTGAGGCCTTTTTCCTTGACTTGCAGATGACTACCTTCACCTGTGTCTTCACTTAGTTATCTCTTCTGTCTGTGTTGTTTGTGCCCTAATCTCTTCTTCTTATAAATAGACCATATTGAATCACAACCTGCCAATATGACCTTTTTTCTTAATTATTTCTCTAAAGGCCCTTGCTCACATTCTGAGGTACTGGGGGTAGGACTGCAACATATGAATTTGGGAAAGTTACACAATTCATCCCATAACATATGCTTATGAGAAACATGAGGTAACTCTTAAGTGGTGATGTTTGTTTGGGTTATTCATAATGTTCTTACATTTTAAATGTAATGGTGACGCTAAGTTATTTATTGGTCTATGTGGTGCGGAAAGCCAGAAGACTTGAAATTCAGGCAAAGTTTAGAAGATTTTCCTGAGACTATTAGTGAAGTACTTACCCTGTAGCTGTGAGATACAACATACT